ATATCCACATTTTTATTCTTGATATTGACAATTGCTGCTTTTGAAAAAAAATTTTTTTTTTGATTATTCTTTCTTGTCTACTTATTTTTTTAATTCTTTTCCAGGAGCCAAAATTTGGCATTGTAGATTTTCCTCTACTGTACAAATGATCTCGATTTCATTTATTTCTTTATTATTGTCTTCCTTCCACTGTCTTGAGGTTTAATTAGATGGGTTTTTGGAGGTTTTTCCTACCTTCTTGAGATGAAAGTTAAGATCATTTCCAAACCTGCTCACTTTCTAATGTATACACTTAAAAGCTGTAAGTTTTTCTCTTGGGATAATTTTAACTGTACTCCATGTATTTTGTTATATCATACCCATTACCATTTAGTTCAAAATGTTTTTCCACTTTTATTGTAATTTAGAAATATGCTGCTTAATTTCTAAACATTTGAGAATTATCCACTTATCTTTTTGTTCATTTACAGCTCAATTCTACTGTGGTCAAAGAACATACTACTGATATTTTCAATCCATTGAAATTTACAGGGACTAGCTCCATGGTTCAGCACATGATTAATTTTATCAAATGTTTCACATGCACTGGAAAAGAATGTGCATTTAGCAGCTGTAGGACATAGAGTTTAATATATGCCAATTACATCAAATTTTTCTTATCACTTGTATCCTTCCTAATTTGTCTTCCAGATACTGAAACTAAATATTAGAGGCTTATAATGTTAGAATTTTTATATTTCCCTGATGGTTTGACCCTTCATTATGATACACCTTTATTTGAAGTGATGCTTCTTGCCTTAAAGTACACTTTATAACATCTTTCTATTGGTTATTCTTTGCATGCCATCTATTTCTATCCTGTTGCTTTCAATCTTTCTATAGTTTTATATTTAAGTATGTCTCTTATGAATATCATATCACTGAGATTTTTCAGTTGATTTTAAGTTTAGTCTCCTATTTGGAGCATTTACCCTTTTAACATTTAACGTGATCACCAATATATTTCAATCTATATCTGTCAATCTGCTATTTATTTTTTCTTTGTCAACCTGTTTTGTGTTTTTCTCTAATTTCTTACTTTCTTTTATAATACATTAATAAACTACTTTTGTTTTTCCACTTTATTGTCTTCATTAGTTTTTAAGTTATATATTCTTTTACTTGGTGGTTACTTTAGCAAATATTCACAAAATATTTAAGTCTAATATATTTCTAGCATGCTTACCAGTTTCCACATGACACAGAGACCTTAGAATATTTTGACTTCACTTAACCAACTGTTTTTGTGGTGTTGTCATGCATTTTAATTCTGTATACACTTTAAGCCCCACAAGACATTATGACTGTTTTCAGCCACTATACATTTATATTTATGCATATTATTTACTCTTTCTACTGCTCTTCATTCCTTCCTTATTTCTGTTTCCATCTGAGACCATTTTCCTTCTTTCTGGAGAACCTCCTTTAGTATTTCTTCTAGTGTAGATCTGCTGGTGACAAATTCTGGTGCAGGTCTGCTGCTGAGTTTCTGTTTGAAAATGTCTTCACAACACTTTCACTTTTGAAGGGTATTTTCACTGGGTACAGATATCTGGGTTGTCTTTATTTTTAAACTAAAAGATAACAAGTCACTGTTTTCTTGGCTTCCATCACTTCTGTCCAGAATTCAGTTGTCAATTGTCAAGCAATTTCATTGCTCCTTTAGATAATGCTTATTTCCTTCTGAACACTTTTAAGAATTTTGTTTGTTTGTTTGTTTGGAGCACTGTACACATCTAGGTGTAGTTTTCTCTATATTTGTCCCACTTTAGGTTAAAAGGTTTTTATGAACCTGTGACTTGCTGTGTTGGCCATTATCTCTTAAAATGTTGCTTCTGCCTTGTTCTCTCTACTTTTTTCCTAGACTCCAATTATATACATTTAAGAACCTTCATTCTTTCCCCTATGTCTCTCACATCTATTTCTGTATTTCTCCATTCTCTTTGCTCTCCATGCCTGGATATATCTACCAACCTATCTCTTTCGGTTCACCAAATTTCTCCTCTTTTTTTCTTGAGACAGGATTTCACTCTGTTACCAGGATGAAGTATAGTGGCATGCTCACAGCTCACTGAAGCCTCAACCTCCCAGGTTCAAGTGTTCCTCCTGCCGTGGTCTCCCTAGTAGCTAAGACTACAGGAATGTGCCAACATGCCCAACTGATTTTTGTATTTTTAGTAGAGACGGGGTTTCGTCGTGTTGCCCAAGCTGGTCTTAAACTCCTGGGCTCAGGTGATCCACCCAAGTTGGCCTCCCAAAGGGCTGAGATTACAGGCATAAGCCACCACGCCTGGCCCAAACTTCTCTTCTGCTATGACGATTAAACCTATATTTTCAGTTTATAATTTTAACTCCATTTTGCATTTCCGGAATTTCCATTTGATTCTTTAAAAATATATATTTAAATATATACAGTTATCCCTTGGAGAATGGTTCCAGGATACCCTCCCTGCCCCCCATGGATACCAAAATCCATGGATACGCAAGTCCTTCATATAAAATGGTGCTGTATCTGCATATAACAGATATACTTCCTCCTGTATACTTCAAGTCAGCCCTAGATTACTTATAATACCTAATATAATGCCTCACATTATTTTATTCTGTGGATTCAACGTAGTATTTAATACACAGAAAATTGAAGTTTTACTTTTTGGAACTGTGTGCAATATTTTTTCCCAATTACTGTTTTTTTTTTTTTGAGATGGAGTCTTGCTCTGTCACCCAGGCTGGAGTGCAGTGGCAGGATCTCAGCTCACTGCAACCACCTCCTAGGTTCAAGCGATTCTCCTGCCTCAGCCTCCTGAGTAGCTGGGATTATAGCTGTCCACAACTACACTCGGCTAATTTTTGTATTTTTTGTAGAGAGGGGGGGGTTTCTCTGTTGGCCAGGCTGGTCTTGAACTCCTGATCTCAGGTGATCTGTCCACCTCAACCTTCCAAAGTGCTGGGATTACAGGCAAGAGCCACCGTGTCCGGCCCCCAATTACTTTTGACTTGTAGTTGGTTAAATTCACAGATATGGAACCCATGGATACAGAGGGCCAACTGTATTTCAGTTCTTTGGCTAACTTCTCCATCTTTGTATCTATTATTTAAACATATTAATTAAAAATCCCTTAACATATGTATCTGGTAATTCACTAACTGGGTTATCTGTAAGTCTGTTGATATTGCCCACTAGTTTTTCTCTTAGTCTTATTTCTGTTTTTTTTTTGAGACGGAGTCTCGCTCTGTCACCCAGGCTGGAGTGCAGTGGCCGGATCTCAGCTCACGGCAAGCTCTGCTTCCTGGGTTTACGCCATTCTCCTGCCTCAGCCTCCCGAGTAGCTGGGATTATAGCTGTCCACAACCGCGCCCGGCTAGTTTTTTTTTTTTGTATTTTTTAGTAGAGACGGGGTTTCACCGTGTTAGCCAGGATGGTCTCAATCTCCTGACCTTGTGATCCGCCCGTCTCGGCCTCCCAAAGTGCTGGGATTACAGGCTTCAGCCACTGCGCCCGGCCCTAGTCTTATTTCTTTATGTCTGAGATTATATGGAAAAAAGTTACAAAGGCTCTGGATGATGTTATCTTTCTAGAGAGGCTTCACCCTATTCTTTCTGATGGGTGGCTTATTAGAAAAAGGAGCAGATCACCTTAATACACTCAAGGAGTGGCTCAAAGTTAGTTTGTAGTTTTTGTTAAGCTCAGTTTATCAGTAGTTTACCCCCATTCCTAGAGTGCACTTCTTCAGAGGTCTCATTGAGAGTCTACAGTATTGCCTAGGGCCCCTCTCTTCAAAAGGGGATACTGTAACTCTAATTTTTCTCTCCTTAGCATTGAGAGACTGCAGAAAACTTCAGTCTTCTTTTCTGACTAACGTCTTAGACTTTAAGAATTGAAAAAAGAAAATGCCTTGAGTGGAAAACCTCTGAGTTTCAGGTTGCCTTCTGCAGATGACTGGATCATGGTCCCTCAAGTCCTGTCAGTCCCAGATTTCAACTTTTGTCTCTAAAGTCCTATGAGATTGCTAAATGCTCCGCTGGCTTCTCTGAATCTTAAATGTGGCCTTCTGCCCAGAATATTGGTTTCTTGTCCTACAGCAAAAATTGAACAATTTCCACTAGAAGAAAAAGATCTCACAGATCTAGATTCACTACTCTGCATTCTCTTCTCTCTAAAATCTAGTCTCCTAAGGTACAATTTCCCTGGGCAGTTCCCTGATGCTTGCCAACAAACATTTTTAGTATCGGTCTGACACAAGCTACTTCATCTTAGCTGGAAGCAAATGTCTCACTCATATTCTTTGCATTTTAATTCCTGAATCAAATTTCTCTCTGTACTTTACCATGACTGGTCTACTGCAAACAACATGGACACACATTTATATTTCAGATTTACATGCTATTGTAACAACTGTCAGTATGTGATTAATGAACAAGAAAATGTTGTGATCATACATCAATAAAAGCCTGAATTTTTTAAAAAAGATTACTTCCTTGAAACATAAGGTATCAAACAGTATGTGTACAGTATATTTTAGATCTCTGTGTACCCAAGAGATATATGTAAAAACAACAACCATCCATGCTGGTGAATTTTGCTATTCATGTTTAAATCTGTTGATCTTTAATTGTAGCTTACTGCATTAAGGATAATTCCTAGGAAGATATATGAGTGTTTAAGGAAGTATGAAACCTCAATGCAGTGTTCTTCAAATTGTGGCTTATGAAATTAATTTAGTAACTCACATATAGTAATAGTAAAGTAATTCTATGAAAATCAATTTAGTTTCGTACATCTATCACCAAACATGTGAACTGGATCATGGCATAAAACATATTTCTTACTGTGATTTGTGGTCAAAAAGTTTAAAAACCACTTTTCCGTAAAACTACCAAAAAGGCCTTAATTTATTTCCATAAGGCACAAAAGACCAACAGGTCTGTTATCTATTACTGATAAGAAGATAATTTCTTACCTTTTTAGAGCACTTGGCTGTGGTTTTCAGACAGCATTTCTTATGGCAAGCATACTTGCATACTGAAAAATAGGTGAGGAATGCAACAGTTTTAGAAATCGGCACATCAATGATAAGAACTTATCAAGTATACTTTATTTTGGACTTACTATTTTTCTTTAAATGTCAGACTGCTGTAAGTAATATGACATACATACTTTGTACAATGGTATAATTAAAAAGAATTTTAGCCCATTCTATTTGGTATAATGACATTGAAAACATGATCAAAATTTCTAGCCACAGTCAACGAAAAAGCTTTTTGTTCTTTCAAAATTGCTCATCCTGCTCCTATGCTACACAGTACCACTCCCCAATAAATTCCAGCAGGATACTTATATTTGTGGTTTGATTCACAAATTAGTGTTCATGTTCCACCACATATATGCTCTACAACATACTAAAATCTCAGAAATGCCTAGTAAGAATCATTCCTATAGATAAGGAAGGCATTAATGTCAAAGACCCTTCCTGAAATGAAAGCAAATTGGGTAGCACAATAAGATATAAGAAAGGTCTTATTTATCATCTCTAAAGGTTCAGAACAGAGCTCTGAAGAACCAGAACATGAAGAATATTCAGCTGTGATTGGGAAGATGGGATAAAGAAAAGGTTCAGAGCTAAAATAATTTAGAGAAGTGGTGATAACCCAGGGTGGCTTGGCAGCTGGTGAACAGGAAGAGGCACATTAAGAGGAGGGTACTGAGAACACAGCTGCTTATTCATTTTGCTATACCAGCTCTGGCTTCTGTGTACCAATACCTGAATATCCTTTCTTGAGCTTGTAAAATATAACTTGTAGGCTTCTGAAGGCCAAGATCAAGTAAGGGAGGCCATGTCACTGTACTGGTGAAATCATCAGGATAACAACAAAGAAAGTTAGCTAAATCTATTAAAAAATCAAATCAGGACAGGCACAGTGGCTCATGCCTATAATCCCAGCACTTTGGGAGGTCGAGGTGGGTGGATCACTTGAGGTCAGGAGTTCCAGACCAGCCTGACCAACATGGTAAAACCCTGTCTCTACTAAAAATACAAAAATTAGCTGGGCGTGGTGGTGGGTGCCTGTAATCCCAGCTACTCGGGAGGCTGAGGCAGGACAAGCACTTAAACCTGGGAGGCGAAGGTTGCAGTGAGCTGAGATTGTGCCACTGCACTCTAGCCTGGGCAACAAAGTTAGACTCCATCTCAAAAAAAAAAAAAAAATCAAACCAACCCAACAGTCATAAAAAAGAAAATCATTTAAATTTTTAGCTTTAAGTTACAGAAGAAACTAAACCTACAAGAATCATAGTTACACTAAAGAGTCAAATACATTTCAAACTACTTCCTATTTTCAGACTCATTATGATTTTTTAGACTACTGATAATAAAACCAAAGCAAAACTGCTGTTGAACCATGGAATAAGTAAATATATAGTAATAGTGGCAATTTTTCTGTGGCAAACTGCTGTCATACCGGATCTGGTCCTTTCCTGGTATTTGCTTCATTCAATTTTAGCCCACTAGTAAAAGCGAAGCTTCACAGAACTAATAATAGCACCAGAGCAGATGTATAAAATGAGTGGAGGCTAAAGGTCCACTGTGAGCCAGAACCAAGTTGATTTACAAAGAATCTCTACTCACATTTTAGGATTTATATATTTGTATATATATTTATACATATATTTATACGTGAAATAATATATATTATATATTTATATATTTTATATATTTATATTTTTCTATTGTAATCTGCTAAAAGGATTACAGTAGGAAAAGTACCTTTCTGACTATAATCTAAGAATTTATTCATTTATCCATCCATCCATCCATCTATAGGTCTATCTAACCAACAAATATTTATTAAAACTTACTATGTGCCATCATTGTTTTAGGTACTGATGATATATATTTTTAAAAAAAGACAAATAAGTTTCCTGACCTATAGAGCATATATTTTAGAGGCATAGACTGAAAAACAAGAAAACAAATACTTAATGTAATTTTGGGTGGTAATGAGTTCTATGAAGACTATTAAGTCTGAGTAAAAGAATAGAGAATTTTGGGGGGTGGGGAGTGGGCGCAGTGGCTCACACCTGTAATCCCAGCACTTTAGGAGGACAAGGCGGGTGGATCACCTGAGGTCAGGAGTTCGAGACCAGCCTGGCCAACATGGCAAAACCTTGTCTCTACTAAAAACACAAAAATTAGCTAGGCGTGGTGGTATGTGCCTGTAATTCCAGCTACTTGGGAGGCTGAGGCAGGGAGAATCGCTTGAACCCGGGAAGCAGAGGTTGCAGTGAGCTGAGATTATGCCACTGCACTCCAGCCTGGGCGATGGAGCAACATCATCTCAAAAAAAAAGAATAGAGAATTTGGGGACAGGGTAGCATTTAAACTGGGGGTAGAAAAGAGAGCTCTCTGAGAAGGTGAGATTTGAGTGTAGGCATGAAGTAACTGAAATATGAAGTCATACTAAAATCTGGGAGAAGACCATTTTAGACAGAGTGAATTACATGTACAAGGCTCTCAGTGATCAAATAACATCAAAATGTCTGGTTTAGATACAAAGAATAGGTGAAGAGAGTATAGCAAGAGATGAGGCTAAAAATTTAGGTAGTGTAAATAACTCCTTTATGCTAAAGGAGAATAAGACAACTCAAGGAAGTAGAAATGTCAGTGGTTAAAAATATTCCTCAAAGATCTCTCATACTTACATTTGCAAACAGAGGCTCGGTCCATTATCCATATCAAAGAAGAACAGTATTCACAGTATGTAGGGATGCTATATTGGGTGGCTTTAAAGATGTGACCATTGTGTTCTTCCACCTGAATGAGAAAATTTAGCTACTTATATTAAAGCCAAAACAGTAAATGCTGCCCTAACATGGTGGGAAATCCTTCAATCTCTTGTTAAGTCTTCACTAGGCACTAATTCTAGAGGGACAAGTATGATCTTTTGAGAAATAACATAAAAATAAAATATATTTTTCCTGCTTTCCAAAAGCTAACAATCTAGATAAACATGACCAAATTATATGAAAAACAGAAAGCAACACAACAGACATATGACAGCTATCTTGTATGACTCTAATGTTACATTAAAAGCAGCAGTTCTCAAAGTATGTTTTCTTTTTTTGACTTTTTTGTTTTTTTCATTTTTTTTTTTTTGAGACTTAGTCTTGCTATGTTACCCAGGCTGGAGTGCAGTGGCGCTATCAGCTCACTGCAGCCTCCGCCTCCCGGGTTCAGGCAATTCTCCTGCTTTTGCCTCCCAAATAGCTGGGATTATAGGCACCTGCCACTGTGTCTGGATAGTTTATATAAACACTGGATTTTTTTATTAGTGACAGTGTTTCACCATGTTGGCCAGGCTGGTCTTGAACTCCTGATCTCAAGTTATCCGACTGCCTCAGACTCCCAAAGTGCTGGGATTATCGGCGTGAACCACTGCTCCCAGCTAAAATATATATATTTTTTGTAATCTCAGGAAATTTTTACAGTTGAAAATTACTGATGGCCTCAGAGAGCTTTTGTTTACATGAGTTACATCTGTTGATATTTACTATGCTAGCAATTAAAGCTGAAAAAAATTTAAAGTATATATACATTAATTTATTTTAAATTAACAATAAAGGTACTACACATGAACATAGCATTTTAATTAAAAACAACTATATCTTTAAAGTAAAAAAAAAAATTAGTGGCAAAAGGGGTATTGTTTTACATTTCTGTAAATTTCTTTAACGTCTGAATTAATAAAAGACACCTGGATTCTCACATCTACTTCTGCACTCAATCTGTTGCAATATGCAGTTCAGTTTGCAATATGCAGTTCAGTTTGCAATATGCAGTTCAGTTTGAAATATACGAAGAAAATCTAGCTTAATACAGATATGAAAGTGGAAAATGAAGGAATATATTTTTAATTAAAATTTTTTTATTTGTATAAATGTATGTGGTACAAATGTAATTTTGTTACATGCATAGGTTGCATAGTGGTGAAGTCAGGGCTTTTAGGGTATCAACCACTCAAATAACGTATATTGTACCCATTAAGTAATCTCTCATCAGCCATCCCCTTCCCAACCCCCCTCACTCTTCTGAGTCAGTGGAGTAATATTTTAACAGTCCTTTCAGATAGTAATACGGCACCAAAACTTTACAAATGGTAACTTAAAAGTTAAGTAAAAAACCATAACCAATGAACCCTTCATGTCCTATGACAGTAAAATCTATTGTTTTGGACTTAATTAAAATTTAAAACTTCAACCTTCAAAGACATCATTAAGAAAAAAAGATAAACCACAGACTCAGAGAAAACATTTGCAAATCATATATCTGATAAATGACTTCTACTCAGAATATATAAAGAAATGTTACAACCCAATAATAAGGCAATCTAACTCAAAAATGGGCAAAATACTGAATAGATGATTCATCAAAGAAGCAGTTCAAATGGCCAATGGGCACATGAAAAGATGTTCAACATCATTAGTTATCAAAGAAATGCAAACTAAAACCACAATGAGATGCTACTTCATACCTACCAGAATGGCTATAACAAAAAAGGTAGATAATAGCAAATGTTGGTAACAATGTAGACAGACTACAACCCTCAGGTACTGCAGGTGGGATTGTAAAGTAGTTCAGTCACTTGGAAAACAGCATGGAAGTTTCTGAAAACTGGAAGCATAGAGTTGCCATTTGACCCAGAAATTCCACTCTCAGGTTTATACACAAGATAACTGAAAATGTATGTCCACAAAAAAACCTGTACGCAACTGTTCATAGTGGCATTACTCATGGTAGCCAAAAATACAAAGCAACTCAGATGTCTACCAACTGATAAAAAAGATAAATAAAACGTGACATATCCATGCAATGGAATTCTATTTAGCATTAAAGAAGACTTAACTATGATAAACACAATGATACAGATGAACTTCAAAAACATTATGCTAAAAAGCCACATGCAAAAACCACAGTGTATGATTCTATTTACATGAAATATCCAGAAAAGGCAAGACTATAGAAACAGAGAGTAGTAGTGCCTGAGGCTAGTAAAGAGCAGTGATTGTAAACTGGCATGAAAATCCTTTTGGGATTTTTCTAAAATTGGATTGAGATGACGGGAAAACTGTGAATTTACTGAAATCACTGAATTGTACACACAAAAAGGGATAAATCTGTGTTAAGTAAATTTACCTCAAGAAAGCTGGTTTACAATACCAACTGGTCTATTTTGTATTTGGACATTTTACCTATACATGATTTTATAGTGGTACGTGTTGATCATTTGGAATATACTGATTCACTAAATTAAACTTCCAAATGTTGACACATTTCATTATACACTAGTAGAAAGTCATAGTCCTTAACTTTATCACTGACCTCATTAGAAAACTTGGCAGACACAAGTTTTCCAAAACTTGATTTTTTGCTTGAATTCACAAGTTTCATCACTGGTAATAAGTATCGTCAGCTGTTTTCCTTGAAGTGACAGGATAACTGCTCATGCCAAAATCTTAATGAATAGTTTAAGTAAAAATAATGTTCTATGAAAAAAGTGGCTAGAAACATGTTGCCACAAAAACTTGTTCATGAATTCTCATGGAAGCATTATTCAAACAAAAAGCAGAAACAACTGAAATATCCTTCAATTAATAAACAGATATATAAAATGTTATATATGCATACAACAGAATGTTTAGCCTTACAAAGGAATGATGTACTGACACATGTTACAACACGGATGAACCTTGAAAACATTATGCTAAGTGAGAGAAGGCAGACACAAAAGGCCATATATATGATTTTTTAAGTCAATATGAAATGTTCAGAATAGGCAAATCCATAGGGACAGAAAGTAGCTGGTGGTTGTGAGGGGCTAGGAGGAAGAGAGAAGAGGGATTGAGTGAGTGTTCAGAAAGTACAGTTTCTTTTTGGGATAATGTTCTCAAACTATAAAGTGGTAATGATTGCTTAACATAGTGAATACACTAAAACCCACTAAATTGTACACACTTTACATAGTCAAAATGGCTAAATGGTTAAATTTTCTTATATGAATTTATCTCAATTTTAAAAAATGCTACTAGATCAGCCTGCAATCTAATTGTACAAGTAATTTCTTGAGACAACCATCATATTGTGGTTTTGCATCTTTCCCATTTCATTACACAGAATATTAAAGAGATGTGAATTCAAGAATCAAAATTTGATGCAATTAACATTTTAATTATTTCACCTTCTTAAGTAAAGCTTCTCTATTTTTCTTAAACTATGAGTGTGTGACTGTAAAAAATTATAACGCCCATTAACAAAGTTTGCAGGCACTGCCTTGATTCATGTTGACGGCAGTTTTACCCATGTTTGCTTTTGTGTCAACTCAATGAAAAAGGAAAATGATGTTTTATTATTATGAAAACAGTTGTGATACCATAAAATCCCTAAAAGTCTACCAGAAACTACTGTAGACCGCACTTTGAAACACTGGATCATATATAAACTAGACATAGTCTCGAGTTTATACAGACGATATATGTTTATTAATGATCTAGTACAAAAGGATATACATGATACTGTTAACTATAGTGATTATCCGAGCTGAGATAAAACATTCAATAGTAAGTGTAACATGACTGGGCGTGGTGGTGTGTGCCTGTAGTCTGAGCTACTACGGAGGGTAAGGTGGGAGGATCACTTGAGCTCAGGAGTTTGAGGTTGGTCTGGACAACACAGTGAAACCCCATCTCTTAAATAAATAAATGTATGTATGTAACATGAAGATTTTTTTTAAAACCTATATATGAAACACTTTAAAACCCTCTTGAAGGACACAAAAATAGACTTAATCAGAGGAAAATATTCAAAATAATGAAGATGTCAGTTCTCTCTACATTAATTTATAAATATAAGGTAATAGAAATAGAAGTACTAATAGATCTTTTTTCTGCTCAAACTAGACAATCAAATAGTTGGAATGGCTCACGACTATTTGGATCAACTAACGAAACAGGATAAAAAAGATCCAAGCAGGCCGGGCGCAGTGGCTCACTTGGGAGGTCGAGGTGGGTGGATCACAAGGTCAGGAATTTGAGACCAGCCTGACCAACATGGTGAAACTCCGTCTCTACTAAAAATACAAAAATTAGCCGGGCGTGGTGGCACACACCTGTGGTCCCAGCTACTCAGGAGGCTGAGGCAGGAGAATCGCTTGAACCCGGGAGGCGGAAGTCGTGGTGAGCTGAGATCGCACCACTGCACTCCAGCCTTGGTGACAGAGCGAGATTCTGTATCAAAAAAAAAAAAAAAAAAAATCCAAGCATAATGGGAAATTTAGAATATAAAAAAGGTGACATCTCAAAGTTGATGAGTAAAGATGAACTTTAAAATAAATGATGTTGTCGTGCGTGGTGGCTCAAGCACTTTGGGAGGCTGAGACGGGCGGATCACGAGGTCAGGCGATCGAGACCATCCTGGCTAACACGGTGAAACCCCGTCTCTACAAAAAAATACAAAAAAACTAGCCGGTGAGGTGGCGGGCACCTGTAGTCCCAGCTACTGGGGAGGCTGAGGCAGGAGAATGGCGTAAATCCGGGAGGCGGAGCTCGCAGTGAGCTGAGATCTGGCCACTGCACTCCAGCCTGGGCGACAGCAAGACTCCATCTCAAAAAAATAAAAAATAAAAAAATAAAATAAAATAAATGATGTTGGTAGCCACTGATAAGAGGCAAAATTAGATTCATATCTTACACTGTACTCCAGGACAATTCCATAAAGACTGGAATTTAAAAGTAAAAAATGTGACCACTAAAAGAAAACAC